CGTGGAACAATTATGGACTTGTACTGAATTCGAAAAAAGTCAGGAGCAGTCGGGAAGCAAGCACAAGTCGATACAGCAGTCGCCAGCTGCACCCCGCCCGGTGCAAGCCCGGAGGCAGAGCCTGGCGAGCTTGGGAACAGCCGAACGCGATATCCGCCTTCGCTGGATCACGACGAGCATCTACAAAATGTACTACATGTGGTTTCCATATTGCCGACAGCGTTGGTAGAGAAGTCACCGTCAACTTACAAGCAAAGACAATTCACAACAATACTGTTGGCTGTAAGTTCATTTCATTATTTGTTTTTGCGCAAATGATAGCTGCTGCTTTTCAATATAGAATGCAGGCCTTATTACTAATATTGTAAATATGGGGATTTTTGCCTCATCTTTGTATATGACTGTCATCGTGCATCAGTCATAACTCATGTCTCTTACTTAGTTTTAGACCTATTCATGTGCTCTGTTATTGTTAAGTTGCCATGCTAAAATTAACAATGATAATTAAGACACTATATTAACAGGATATTAGGAAATACATTGTTGTTCTAATAGTCATATATTATTAGAAATATTATCATCAGGTATCATTTGAATACAGGAGTCATATAAATGCGTCACCCTGGCCCATATTTTGAAAGGATTTTTTTAAATACACACGTGCACGTCCCCTTTATCTGTGATGCGAAAAAACAACATTTTTTTTAATTTACGGCCTAGAACATTAACAGAATATTAAACTTATATTTTTGCATATTTTAGAATATTGGTTTTCCTTTTGAAATAATGCGAGACTTTTCTGTAACAGTGAAATATTTGATAATTGTTTAAATATTCATTTTTGTTAATTCGTGCATGCAGGTATGAATGCCGGAAGACATACCCAATCCACAGGACCACGACTACATCACTTCTCATCAAGCATCAACTTCTACAAAGTCAACTCCAAATCTGCTCATTGCTGCTGACATCTTTCGTCTAGAGGTGAGTCAACTAAGCCGTCAAAGACTCCCGTCGAAGATCTGGTTGACAAGGAACAGTATAAGACCTTCTCACAATATAAATCCCATAATACATACAAGTGTCTAGTTGGTAGGTCCATTTAGTTTTGTCAGTTCATTGTGGGGTGGAAATGTTTCATATAGGTACTTGACTGAGCATTGTAGATTGCTTGATAAACTCAATGAGGGAGACGCTGTTATGGCCGACAGGGGATTTCATATTGAGGACTCTCTGTTGGAGAAAGACAACTGTTGGATTAGAAAAGAGACTTAATGTTAATGAAATAAAAAAAAACTGCGACATCGCTAGGTTTCGCATCCATATAGAAAATAAAGATGAAACATATTTTTATAACTTCCAATGAGTTGTTTTATGTTATATGAATAATTTAAAACCAAAAAAAGCCACTGGTGGTGATAGTATTACTGCTTGGTTGCAGCTACATGTGTTGGTCAATCAGATTATTTCAGCAGGAGGTCTGGCGTTATCGAATCTGAAAAAAACGGGGTTGGACGTTTCGATAATGTTCATATGTATGTGTTTTATTTCATTTATTTGGGAGATCAAATCCCTCCGCTGCGGGCCATGTTTTTTTAAGACGTCGAAAATGACGGTAGTATTTAAGCAAAGGCTAATCAAGAGAAAATAAGTTTCAGTCAGTGAATTGACTGATAGCGCTGGGGTTAACAGAATGTCCAGTCCTGTTATTAGTGACTGGTGTTAGAAATAGGCAAGTAGATCGACTTTCATTCATGGTGAATTTCAACTCTTTAGTAATTCACACGGCCACGAAAGGAACAGTATACAACCATAAACGTGTATTTGCTTCATTGCTCGATGTTTTTTATGTCCAAGCGAGATCTAATACAGACAGGTCGAAATTCACGTATATAGGTAACGCTTTCAACTTGAAATCCTATTCGATATCCCTGTTTGCGAGTATTCATGTTTTAGATAACATAAATATGCAAATGCACCAACATCTGTTGTTTATCATCTACGTGGGAGGTCTATTTCACGTTGGGAATACTTATGATGAGCGAGTTATAAATAACCCTATGTGCCTAAACTTCTTGTGATTTAGTTCAGTCTGGCATTCACGAGTGTGCTTTGGAGTAATACACATAGATCGTATCAAACATCCATGATTTTCGCGCGGTGGAGCGCATTGGGCCACTTTCTGTCTGGAATACCCTTACCACGAAGACTATTTGACTCGTACGATAGTCAGCCCACCGAATTGAAAAGATTTCTCATACGTGGTTCCTCAATCATGGAATATTTTGATTTCACGCAATGTGTGGCCAATACGTCCTGTATTACTGGTTGTGTAGATGTCGATGAGATGAAGCTTTCACGAAAGGTCAAACTTAGTCTACCGCAGTTGAATCTTCGGCAAGAAGGCGAATATGTATCTTCTTCGCCGGGGGAAAACAAAAATCTCTATGTAAACTCATTCCATGTGATTATTTATGTCAAAGTTATTCTGTGAAACGATCAGGTAACTATATATTTTATCTCATCGTACCCTAGTCCGCCATTTTTACTGGGTGACTCATACTTTTAAATTTCCAACACATAACTTATACCCTCTTTATATAACTATCGGTTTTTAATATTATTCTCTCTCATTACCTTCTTCTACGACAGATGACCGATTCTGATTAGTGTGATGGAATAAGGAAGTAAGAAATATAAAAAATGTATATATAGAATGAATTATTTTTTATTTATCACTGTTCATTATTATTTACTTTTCTCTTTTCTGTGTTTTTAATCGAATCGTTTATGTACTCGTATTTTTCGTGGCATTACAAATAAATTTTACCACACCACACATTTACACTTTATGTACGTATTTTTCGAGGTGATAACAAAGAAATATTCACTCATGCTAAACATTTACACACTACCAACTATTTTCCTTACTCACATCGTATGTTTTTTCGTGGCGTTAAAACAAAAATACTCAACCACACCATAAATGTATACTCCATGTAAATATTTCATTCTTGTTTACTTCCTTTGTGCAATAAACTCCGTTAGTTTTCAAAATGCCGTGTATTTATTAGTGCATGTGTGTGTGTGTGTGTGTGTGTGTGTGTGTGAGAGAGAGAGAGAGAGCGCCATCTACGATACATTCTGAAAAATCTTTCGTGAAATCCATGCTCGTCAATTAAAAAAAAAATTGATGGTAATTTATGCAAATGTTTTCACGGTGACCTCGTTACTACCCCGTATTCAAATCTATTTTATGTATGCAAATGTAATCACAGTATCCCATTGTGACGTCATTCTCATTCACGGCCACGTAGGATCATCTATGCTAATTTATGCACGGATTCCCATTTTGACGTCAAAAGTTATGCTAGTTTATGCGTGCCCCTATTGTGACGTCATTCACCCAGTATTACGTCATCCAACCCCATATTGGTTCTGTCCTAAAACATAACATCAAGGGGTAGAGTTGAAATATTCATTTAGTTGTCTTAATTCCCCCATCACCGTATTTATTAAGCCCTCGACCCCCGTATTCAAATGAAGTTTATTGACAGCTGTCTAATGTAGTATGTATAATGCACCAAAGATGCAGAGAGTGTTTGTACTATACACCGTTGACTGCATTGAATGACATTTTCTTTGTGTACCAGAACTGAGGGCAGTTTTGTTGTTTTTAGGTTGTATTTCAAAATACTATACATTGAGAGAATAATATGTTTTGTTTTACTATCTTGAACATGTCTACTGGCTTAGGGAATACTAGCTTACATTAATGCTATTTATTGAACCTGCTCTATCTTGAAAAAAATGATCATGGAATGGTAACCAACAAAGAGATCTAAGAAGATCTTTAGATGAGTGTCTGCCTGAAACATAGAGAAATTGTTTTGACATACCTGAAACCAAGCCCTAAAAATAGGGCAATATAAAAAAAAAGTTGCAATATGTAATACTGCTAGGAATTAACAAATATTTGTTATGCGCCATGATAAGCACTAACCTTTCTACAAACTTTCTTACTCTGGAATTAATATTTGTGACGTAACGATCTTGATCAGAGGGAGGTAAATATCTTAACAATCATCAACATAAATTTAGTTTGATATGTGTTGATAACAGTTTCAAATTGTGTTGTTAAATTTTGTTGTAAGTTGACAATTTAGCTCAGATACAATTATGACTGATGTGCGAACTGTGGAGGGGTCAGCATACACAAGAATATCTGTGGGAAGAACTTCAAGTGGTAGGTCATTAAAAAATATAAGAAATAAAAAAGGACATAGAATAGACCCCTAAGGGACCTCAGTAGTTACTGGTCAATTTTCAGAATGAATATTCTTGACAATTGACATATGTCTGCTGTCTGGTGTAATAGTTTTGACATCACATTGATATAATGATAAATTATTGGGTAAAAAATTGTGGTCTAAGTAGGTATAATAAGATTGATCCTACTAAGTCGCTCTTCTGTGTAGTTGTTGTTCGAATCGAAACCAGCCTACTTAGGGCAGACTCACATGAGTGTGAAAAATCAATTTTGTATGGTGTATTATGATTTTGCTTTTCTAAAATCTGGGAAATCACTGAAATTACAGATGTGGGGGATAATTATTTGTTATTTTCACGTCTCAAGTCTTGAATAAAGGGGTAACCTTTTCATGAATTAGGAAAATGTATAAACTACAAATCTTTGTCAGGGATTGACCAACACCTGTAGCTGCAACCAAGCACTAATACTATCACCACCAGTAGCTTTATTTGGTTTTAAATTATTCAAATAACGTAAGACAACTCATTGGAAATTATAAAAATATGATCACGGTTATTTGTGCTTGTTGCAGTAGTGATAAATCGATCAGCATTAGATGTCTATGAAAAATTAATAAAAGTTGAAATATGGTTGAAATATGACTAATCCAGTATATTGTTAATAAATCACTTATTTCGTGATTCATTTGTTGGTACGCATCGTAATAATGAAGCAAAACTCGGTTCACTAATATATAGATTTTTTTATTTCAGCCATCACGCAGGATATTCCAACATTGTAAGGTTTTGGTTGAATAACCAAATAGTGCAGGTGGATTATATACATCATCCAGTTTAATGCTAGCAGGTGAGGTTCCGGTATTAGATATATTCTGTATGAGCAAAAATAGAAACATTGTTTATAGTATATAAATTAAAGTGAACGTCACAGATGTATCTGTTATTAATTGCTTATATGTGTATACGCTTAGAAACATATACTTCCTGGCAAATCTGTAAATTTAATGCAACCCACTAGCATAATAAATGAGCACACATTGACACAGTTTCCAGATCTTGCCATAATATGTTGTCAATATTGTTATTTAATGTTTCAAAGACAGGTCGTACGCGAAATGAAAAACTAGCTATAGTTCTGTCATTTATCCATTATTGAAACGATTGTGTACTTTATATTATGTGCCTTGGAAACAGAACATTTAATTTATGATAAGTATAGAATATGTGAATTAAAATATCAAACTGTTACCATCATGTTTTTGGTTACACAGATAACTGCTTTTTGCGAAGGATGGTTTGCCGATCATAAATAACCTTTTATCATCTATAATTTTCCCATAATGTGATAGGGTTGGGGAAAACATCATAGTTGACATTAGCATCATTATCATGATGAATGCTACTGATTTATTCATTTCAAAGCACAGATCTGTTGACGAAACAGAACAATTGTTATTCATGAAATATGAAGACTATTAGTGGATTATTCCCAACTAGAAGTAAGAAGGACAAATAATTAATAAATATGTCCCTTCTTTGTTCTGTACAAGTACAATATACATGTCTTATTTAGCTGTACATTCAAACAATGCGCAATATGTATGCAGACAATTGTGAGCACGAGTATGCACAGATAAAATTCTGTTAGGAAAATTTGAGGTTATTATTTTGCCTGCATGTTTTTTTGTTTTTTTTTTCAAACAAGTTATAGATTATTCTCATAAATTTGCCGTACCATTATATGTTGGTAAATAATATTGGAAAATATTTGTGTATGGTTATCATGTAAATAACATTTTCGGAAACATTCTTTATTTTTAACCAAATACTTTACGGGCGGATTTTCATGGAATTTTGAGCAGCAGGTTTTCATGGAAGCCTAAATGTTTCAATTATTGATTTAGTTGCCATGCAGTAATTTAGAAAGGTAAAAAGTAGAAGTTTATTGGTGGATTTTCATTTAGGTTTACTCACTCAAGAAATCACACCTTTAAAAAGTACCTCTATAGCAACTCGATTCAGATCTTCCCTAAAATCTAATCGATTGGTTTAGATATGGAGGACTACCTCTGTTCAAAACACGACGGTCAACCTTTATCTGGCAATACATATTCATTTTAGTTTCCGTGAAGATCCAGATTTCAACCATTTTTATGGGTAAAACCCAATCGATTTGCACTTATTTTCATGGAAAACCCCTGAGTGTCGAGTTTAAAAATAGAATGTCTGTCTGTCACGTTTTGAGCCAACATATAATAGTTTCGTGCTTGTAAAAAGTTTAAAAAATCCCGCTCACAGATAAATTGAACGTCTGTAGCCAGAAACCTGACATGCGGAGGTGATATGCTGAAATTCTCAGGAATGACACTGCCTTCGCTAGTTGTCATTCTAAACTTGCATGGACATAAATTGGCATTTTCAAGTTTATAGCACTCTCCATCCAGGTCAGCATTATTCTCAGCAAGGAAACCAGATAGCACCATCCCAGTACAACAGGTAAAATGACAAGGAAGTATACAAATCAGATCTGCAAATATGTCAGTGTTGTGTCTGTTTGGATAAACTAGTTTGTGGCCCTGGATTAGTTTCAATATCTCTAAAAAGGACAAGATTACTTCTCATACGACAATGATACAAATAAAGTGCAAAAATCAAGAAAAATATTATCAAGTTTTTATTATCATACATTAATATTAACAAATCGTGTGAAATTTTATGTACAGAGAAACACAAATTTATGCTTTAGTTGACAGAACTTCTCAAAGTAAAAAACAGAGGACCTGCGAAACTTTATACAATTGTCAGACACGCAGTGAATAGTACCGGGTATGTTTTTGTAATACATGCAGTTCCAGTGACTTTGCTTTCTGAGAAAAAAATCTGGCTATGCACCTGAAAAAAACACAAAAACAAAACAAAACATTTAGCCCAAAGTAAGCAGAGGTTGTAGCAAATACAATACAAACAAATACATTTAATATAAAAGCAGATAGAAGTGCATAAAAAACTAATCAGCAGAGGTAGTGATCATGTAATCAAATTTCCTTTGAACTGGATTGCATTGTCTCAGATTGGCTGCTAATTTGCATATTAATTTGCATACTAATTACCATATTGTAGTATTAAAATATATAAAATAATATTCCGAAGTTTTGAAAAAAAAATTATGACTATTAAGTCAACATCATTAAAATTTAGGATTACGTGAATTTGACCCCTCCCTAATATTGTTTCACATATCCCTTAAAAACATGGCGGCCGTTAAATCCATCTCAATCGAGGTCCGTAATTTATTTTCCTGCTCATAATGGAGATAAATTATGGTAGCTAAACATTGAAATTGCCACCCTGACTTCAGTACCGAAATAAATAGCTGATTGGAAAAATATGTCTCTGTTGACAGAGGTTCGATTTACCGATAAACTTCAACACCGCATGGAGCATAGTGGTCCCGGTCACGAGTGCAGTAACGCACGCGGTTATCATACTTACTTCAAAGGTAATTTAACAGCGATGATAGATTCATTGATATTAAATTACAGTACTTTTCAATTTCATTATTGCTTTCGGTTGGCCGAACTTGACTTGTGTTTTCTCGATAATTCTAGTCTAATATGTCGTCACGAAACCAAGTTTCAATCTGCTAGCAGTTGCCAATAAACGATCAGCGTGTTCTAAACCTTTACGTTTTTATTATTCCAGTATTTTATATGCCAAACGTTATTCCCAAGCCTCATAAATGACGAGATAAACTTTCGATTAACACGTTTCATAACCAGTTCTTGAACTAATAGCAGGACTGTTTTTCTGGCAAAGTGTGACACTGTGCGATCGCTAGTTTCTCACTAAAGTCAGGACACAAAAGGATAAATCGAAGTTCATAATAAATACCATAAGCACAGTTTCTTACCTTTGAGATATAATTTAATCTATGTAAGCCTTGTGCAAAGAAAGATACAGTCCCGGAATACAATATCCTCAGACGAAATCGACGGTGATTTCCTTAGCGGTTAGACTGGCGCATGCGCAATACGGTATGCTAGTTGTCTTGCGAGATGTCGTTAAAACTCGGATTTTTCCGGTAAATTTTGGCACTTATACTAGTAAAATGTTGAAAATCACAGAAAAACACAATGAAAGTTTGGCGAATCAAAAAAATACTTGGCGTGCATATGTATGGCATTGAGAATTACATTTGCACCAACTTTGAAAAAAATGGACAGAGCATATCAAAGTTATAAGAGGTAAAAGACGGACGGACGGACGGACGGACAGAACCCAATCTATAAGCCTTCAGACTTTGTCTGCGAAGGCTAATTAATAGTATGGAATATGCACCCTTGCTAATTTACACAATGTGATTAAACAATCAGTAATATAATTTATAGCCTATAATTAGAAGCGTTGACACTACACGAACAGTATCTGAAAGTTGGCTGGTTACATATTGGAGTTTACTCGATTTACTAGGAAGCACAACTGGTCTAGAAAATCTGGTGTTAGCCGTACTGTTTGACTAGCCACCCCATGTTAGGTTGTGTAGCAACAAGCAGTAGCACCACCTGTTTCCACATTGAATACGTATGGATCCATAGAAAACCTGAAGGGGAGCACCCCGCGAGGCATGTATAAGTCGATAGGTTTGTCTCTGCCTCCCGCAGAACATATGCCCATCCTTCTTGTTGCAAGCGGAAGCATCAAACCTGCTTCCCCTGAGAGCTGGAGAGGCGACCCCCGAGGAAGAGGGGGCACTACCACTTGATTCCTTCTACACGGGGGGGGGGGGGGTCGCCACTTTTTCCTCCCTCGGAAGAGCCTCCTGACTACTTCTGGCCAGTGGGTGCCGACTTTGGTCGTTACGTTTAGAATTCTTACCACTTGCCCTTGGTAGAAGCAAAACTGGCTCGCGGTCTGCACCGAGACTGCTCCTTCCATCCTCAAAAAGAAGAGGGCAGGGGAGGTCCAGCCTGCATAACTGAGCGCCCAGTGAAACATCCAAAACCGCATTCCGCTGTAAAGAGGCAGCCCCTGCCATGAGAGCCAGATGCCACTGTAGGATATCCGGCTTAGTAATGTGGTGTCCCATTAATGGTTGTGTCTGCTGGTCTAGAAGGCTTGTGCGTTCCGCCATTGAGAGTTCAGAGTGCTGGCGGCGCAAAACAATTCTTTCCTGTGGGCTGACCACAACTCAAAGGTTGAGGGTTGCCACTCTGCTCTCAGTGCGTAGATTGTTTACGACTAACCGGTCGAAATATTCCATGAATGCGTCCACCCCTTTTTCCCATCCCACCGAACCCAAAAAATGTTTGATACCGGGGTCGGGCAGGAACCGAAGGATCCGATTGGGGCACGAGATATGACGCAAGACTTTGCTGGCTCTGGTCTCAAACACTGCTCGATCTGGTATCGCTTTGTCCAGCGAAAAAGGTTGAGCATAAAATTGACCTACACTAAGGATTTAGGCTTCTATCCCACGTGGGACCAAGTTCAGCCCATCAACACCGTTTATGCGCCCCCCCCCTACAGCCAGCATATGGCGGGATCCCAAGCAATATCGAATGCAGAACTCTGGACCCCGAAAATAACAGTCCTACCGAGAGTGACTGTTTCGGGATCGAGGGTGGGGGAAGGGTGAACATTTGGTCACTAGAATCGATGTTCCCCCCTCACCCCACGGCGTGGCTCAAGGAGTCATTACGAGAAACAGATTCCGAGGGGCCGCCCGAGGTTGTACATTTAAATACTATTTTGACGGCCATATTGAATTTATGCAAATGGTTGTTATTCAATCAAATGTTTCACAATCACATATATTCACACTCACCAAACCATTTCGCAGCAACTTGAATATCTAAAAAATTACATCTAGAATTTAAGATATGTCCTAATAGTTATATTTTCTATGTTGTAAATATGTACCAAACGGCCATTTTGAATATATGCAAATTAGAAATATTTCGGAAGCCTAGATTTTCCTAGACTTTTAGTATGGCAATCTAGGCACTTCCCCGGAATGAATTGTGAAGAAATTATTTATGCTGCAATTTGTGATGGGTCAAACCATAAATTGACAGAACTATAATGCAAAAGAAGAAATTCGCTGGAATTAATCCCTAATTTTACCACTTGTTCTGACAAGGCTGCCCCATTTTCACTCAATTATATATCTTTATCATTATGAACAAAATAATAGTCAAATTCAGGGTATCGTATTCAACAAACTGAACTAATTTTAGGCAAGCATCAAATGCAAAAGTCTGAAGGATTTTGAATTGTCAAGGGGGTCGCACAGACTCACCCCTAAACATTGAATGCAACAACACTGGTCTTAGATTTATATGTGTATATTTGAGAAATGGGATAATTGGAACAAAAATTGGGTTGAATTGATTCAAAAAGTAGAAAACAAAATATTATATAGAGAGCGCG